TCCTCCACAAGCAACGTGGACCCAGTGACTTGCTCTTGAAAGCAGCCTGTGCCTAAGCCATGAGCAATGTGCAGACAGGGCCACCTGGCTTGGCTTGCTGCATCTTGCGGGACCTCCAAGGCAGGCGTGGGGCTGTCCCAGGCCCTGGGTGGCATAAGGAATCAATATCTCCTCTTATCCTCACAGCTTTTGACATTACTCAGGGCTCCTCCTCAGTGAACCTGCACATGGACATAAAGTTCTGGATAAGAATGAACCCTATCTGACCACAGTGTCTCGTATTAGATTCCCAAAACACTGAGGAGCTTTGATGTCTTTTCACTCTGAGGAAAAGCAATGGACTGGATGGTAGCACAGGATCTCTAAGGGAGCTCTCATCTCTGATTCACTTAATTAGTAGAATGAGATTTAGACAATTATATATATACTTTGTACATACTATTCTCTATAGTTGATAGATGTAACAAACCATTGTTGCATATTCCAAAGGGTATGTCCTAATTACTTAGTTATCTCAACATGTACATTGATTTGGATTGTGTTTTAAGCAAGTGAAACCTGTGTTCCAAGTCATCCCCATCCTCAGGTTTTCCTTAGGTGACCTTGTCCAGCGTTGGCCGGTGACCTGTCAGTGTGGTGACCTGTCAGGTTTGGGTGACTGCCAGTGTGAGCTTGACGGATGCGCAAGCTGGAGGCAGGCCCGGGGAGCCTTGGTGCTCACACACGACCTAAGATTCTTTTGGCTCCAGAGCGAGCACGAATAAGTTGATGTGGACCTACAGAAGGTTGTCCGGACTGTGAGGGCGACTGACACTTTCACTGGGTGTCTCAGAGCATGTTCAGAGCAGGAATAAATGAAGACAGAGGAGTGTCCACCATGGTGGAAAAATGCTACATAGACGGTTCCTACGAGGGGAGAGGACAGACAGGCCGGTGAGAGTTTACTGAAAGTTCTTGAGCTAAGTGTTGGCTGGGTTCCTTTTATCAGACCAATGCCCTCAGTCTCAGTGACCACGGGAGGTGTCCTGGGAAGCCCACTATCGAGGGTGGGAGAGCTGACTGGGTGCCAACGGTCATGCAGGAAGTTCATGGCAGGGCGCTCCACAGCCTCAGACGCCTATGCTTCACTCTGCCCATGTCAGAGTCCTGTCCCCAGGGTGTTGGCCACAGCCGGGGCCAGCCTTGGTGACACATCACCTCGCCTGCACCTGAGGCTGGCAGGGTAGTACGGCTCTTGAGGCCTTGTTGGGGCACAAAAAGAGTAAGGGGATTCTTCCAATGTTTAACCAGGACATCAGTCCCTCCAGTCCAGTTTCCTGGATGCCAGCAAGCCCTCTGGATTTGCTCCAACAGGCAGACGAGGGAGCATCTCAGGCGCGTTTCCCTCCTTCTTATGGGGATCTGAGAACGCGAAGCTGTTTTCATCAAGTATCTTTCAAGCACTTAATGGGCAGAGTCCGGACATTTCGGAGCGCGCCGTGCTACATGCATGGCATGCCCACCTGCGGTCGGACTTCTCTGCCTTACACCCTTGTCTGGCTGGTGGTCTCACCACCGCTCCTTGCGCTGCTGATGAAGACGAGCTCAGCTAGGAGCCTTATATTCCAGTAGTTCAGGGCTTACCAAGCGCGCTCCTGACGCTCTTAGCAGAAATCTCTTCCTTAGAGTCTTGCCCAGAATATCCTTCCCATGCGATGATTGGCAATTTCGTCTAAAATAATGAGCTATAAGTAATACACAGTTAGTGGTTGGCAGCAGAACTCTTTGAAAACATGCACGTTTTTTGCGATTATCTGTCGATTGATAAATGGGATTTAGTGCCGAGTTTTAGAATGATATTTACCATTTTATCGTCTTTGCCGAAATTCTCTTTCTTCACACCAAATGGCACAGAAGAAAACCGTGAGAGGAGATGAACACAGATGAGCGCTGAGGCCAGGGAGAAGCTCCACACGCGAGGTATTTTCAATTAGTTGACGGTTTCCTTTGCGAGGATAATCATCAATTTTCTTCCCATTTTAAATGCTCACAGCATTTTTGTTAAATGGCATTCTTCGGTAATTGCTGGCTTCCAAATGGTAGTTAGAAGACGATGTTCGAATATAACGAGCACACTTTCTGAGCAAGAGGCAGGTGCGTGATGGCAGAACCACTGCTGACCTGAGGACTAGTTGCTAAGCAAGTGTATCTCACTGCTTGCACTAATTGTCGGGAAGGTGCACGTCTTGCACACTGCTGGCCCACTTTATCCCTACCCATATGTAAACGACTCCAGAGCGGGAAGGAGGGCATAAGAAAACAGGTAAGACTTTCCCGTCTCCCTGGATGTGCCCGGACATATGTTCCTGTGTCTTATAGCCAGGACCATGAGAGCTAGGTGTGTTGGTCCACGAGTTCCTTCTGGGTGCTAGGTCAACATGCCAGGAGAAGATGACTACACCACACGTGAGGAACCATCGCGGGCACTTGCTATCTGTTACCTTCTCCTAAATTGAATAGGGCTGCACTAGGTGCCTGATCCTTCCAAACAAAATTGAAGAAACAATCCAAGACACTTTAATCATTGTAGCACCAATAAGCTTCATCCCTTTAAATTGGTTAGTTGCTTAATTTCTCTTAAAGCTAAATTCCGTCATTGTCTATTATTTGTTTGTTTTAGATAATGTTCAAATTTTCTGAAAGCTTCAACGAAAGCTGAGGTTTCTTTGTCCTGCCTTCCCTAAATAGCTTGGATTTAGAGTTCCCAATGTTTGTTCAGAGGACCTTAAAACCAGTCAGTCTTTTTCTTCAGTACTCATGATTATAAACATGGTGACTAAGGCATCAAACCTCTTTTTTGGAAAAATTTTTATTGACTTGTATTAAGTGCATAAAATTTATACCGTACAGCTTGATTTTTGATGAATTTTTTAAAAAAAACATAACATACCTGTTATAGACTAGAACAACTTTGATAAAGATACAGAGTATTTTCTCTTCTCTACCTACCAAGGTCTCCCAGTCAAAACTCCACCAATCGGTTTCCTGTTTGACTTCTTATCCCTACATGGGGGGAGCAGCATAGTGGCGCCAAGATGTTCCAGGTCCAATCTCGGAACATGGGAATATCTTATCGTTACATGGACTTGGGGAGTGAGGTAGCAATGGAAAAATTTCACACTGGGGCTTGTCAGGGCTGACCTTTCAAAGATGGGAGAATTTCCCTGGATAGTGGAGGGGCCTGTTGGAAAGATAAGACATAAAAGGTTTCAGCGAGTGCTTTGGCAGGTTTGCCTTGAGGAATCTGTGAGTGTGTATAAGTTCACCAGATCAAAGCTGCCTCGCCACAGGAGGGGCATCTCCTGATCAGGAGCATTGCAAGGCAAGCCATCTCTCGACCTGGAGGCCTGCCTGAGGCTTGTTTAAGACCAGGGGGCTTGGCATGAAGGTCAGGGTGAGAACTGACAAAGATGCCTGCCCGCAGTCACGCCTGCTAAAAGATGACTGGCCTCGGGAGAGTTCCTGTTTCCACTCCTGACCACTCTGGCTCATCAAGAAGAAACTAAGATAAAAATATACTACCTCTTAATTTCTGTTCAGCCCTTCTGTTTGCATTGCATATTTTATCTGTAGGACTCAGCAAAGTTTATCTTAGAAAAATTTTGTAACCGTTTGTGTGCTTCATGTAGACTAGATTAATTAACGGGAACTCTAGAAATCTTGGGGAGACTGTAAAACCCTAAGCGAATTCTCTTGTTATTATGTTAAATCTGTAACCACCTGGCAAATGATCCACTGCCTAATAATACTGATGGGGGGACTTCACTACCGAGCCTCCTCAGTCCACCGGAATGCTGGAGGACCCCTGACTCCCCCATCACCTTTAAACTCCTCGTTCCGGTTATTCTCTATCTCTATTGTTCTCATGTTTTATTATTTCCAATCTCATGTGATGATCGCCCAGGGACCTGTTTTGCTGGGAGTGTAGCTAACTCCCGGCAGGGCCCAGTATATCACAGATGTTTGCAACTGCAGAAGACCGAGGGAGAGTCTGGGGAGAGCAAATGCCATTCAAAGGAAACTCAACCCATGCATGGGCTCTGAAGGTGTGCAGAAGGGTGCCATGAGCTAGACGACATCCAGCGCAGCTTCTAAAAGCTACAAAAAGTAAGAAATGCATTCTCCCTAGTCTCCAGAAAGGATCGCCACCCCTGAGTCCACTCGGTTTAGGAGGGAGAACCTGTTTGTGCATTTGACCTCTGAACTAGTAAGAGATATTGTTATTTTAACGCACTACTTTGTGATAATATTAGTTATAGCAACAATAGAAAAACTAGTATACCTCATCCATAAATGACCTATCTTTGCTTTTGTTTGTTACAATATGGCTAAGGAAAAGGACACACATGAACGCATCAGTTTGCTTGAACTGGCCAGGTAGAGACCCTACCTTGTGGTAGCCCAACATCCAATCAGTCACAGACGAGCACCCTCTCACTCCAGAAACGTTGCCTACGACTTCTTTCCTCAGGGACAGGCCACTTGTTCAATTTCGTATACACCGGAAATCGTCTGCCTACTGGTTGATTCATACAAATGTGAATTCAATAAATCACACATATGTATTCTTATGTCTGGCGTCTTATGCTTAGCATAAGTTTTACCAAGCTCCTGGTGGTGGACATTGGATGCTTTCCAGATCAATTTTTCTTCCCATTTTTTAAATGCTCACAGCATTTTGGTTATGGCATTTTCGCGGTAAATTGGCTGGCTTCAAATGTGATTAGAAGACGGATTGTTCTCAGGGGGATTATAAGCAGCCGAGCACCTTTACTGAGCAAGAGGCAGGTGCGTGATGCAGAACCGAGCTGAACTGAGAACCGCTTTGCTAAGGCAAAGTGCGTAGTCTCACCTCTGGGTGCTCTGTTGGCCAGAGATCTGCAGCCCAGGCTTCCTTCCTTTGCAGCAGGCTGCTGCTGTTGAGATTGTCCGAGAAGGTACAAGTTGACAGAGTAACCCTTTCCAGCACGCGGTCGTACCAGAGGCAGGAGAAGGCTCTTCTCAGCACAGCACATACGCTAGTTTTCCTTCCCACTGCACCTGTTTATGGCATTTCAGGTATGTGACTCGACTAGTGTTCTAGCCAAGCCTGCATCTCTTAACCGAGTTGTATAAAACATTACACCAATAGATGCATATTTATTTTCCTTTATGCTAGAGGATGAAGACACGTATTCCACTTAAGGTTGTCATTTAAATGAGTTGGAGGTCATTTCCAGATCCAGTTGCTCCTAGAGGACTTGGGTGCCCCCTGGGGCTGCCCTGGCTGGGTGGGGCATCCACCCATGTAACTGGTGCCTTCTTTTTCACCCTTCTCCACAAGCAACGTGGACCCAGTGACTTGCTCCTGAAAGCAGCCTGTGGCTAAGCATGAGCAATGTGCAGACAGGGCCACCTGGCTCGGCTTGCTGCATCTTGCAGGACCTCCAAGGCAGGCGTGGGGCTGTCCCAGGCCCTGGTGGCATAAGGAATCAATATCTCCTCTTATCCTCACAGCTTTTGACATTACTCAGGGCTCCTCCTCAGTGAATCTGCACATGGACATAAAGTTCTGGATAAGAATGAACCCTATCTGACCACAGTGTCTTGTATTAGATTCCCAAAACACTGAGGAGCTTTGATGTCTTTTCACTCTGAGGAAAAGCAATGGACTGGATGGTAGCCCAGGATCTCTAAGGGAGCTCTCATCTCTGATTCACTTAATTAGTAGAATGAGATTTAGACAATTATATATATATATATATGTACATATATATATATATATGTTTGATAGATGTAACAAAATCCATTGTTGCATATTCCAAAGGGTGTCCTAATTACTTAGTTATCTCAACATGTAATTGATTTGGATTGTGTTTTAAGCAAGTGAACCTGTGTCTAAGTCATCCCATCCTTCAGGTTTCCTTAGGTGACCTGTCAGCGTTGGGTGACCTGTCAGTGTTGGGTGACCTGTCAGTGTTGGGTGACCTGCCAGTGTGAGCTGACGGATGCAGCTGGAGCAGGCGGGGAGCCTTGGTGCTCACACAGGACCAAGAATCTTCCTTTTGCTCAGAGCGAGCATGAATAAGTGATGGTGACCTACAGAAGGTGTGTCCGGACTGTGAGGGGACTGACACTTCACTGGGTGTCTCAAGAGCACGTTCAGAGACAGGAAATAAATGAAGACAATAGGGAGGTGTCCACAATGGTGGAAAAGATGCTACATAGACGGTTTTCCTAACGGAGGAGGGAGGACAGACAGGCGGTGAGAGTTACTGAAAGCTTCTAGTGGCTAAGTGTTGGCTGGGTCCTTTTATCAGACATGCTCCTCAGTCCTCAGTGACACCGGGAGGTGTCCTGGGAAGCCCACCATCTGAGGGTCGGGAGAGGCTGACTGGGTGCCAAGGTCATGCAGGAAGTTCATGGCAGGGCACTCACAGCTCCAGACCCCTATGGCTTCCACTCTGCCCATGTCAGAGTCCTGTCCCCAGGGGCTGTGGCCACAGCCGGGCCAGCCTTGGGTGACACATCACTGCCTGCACCTGAGGCTGGCAGGGTAGTAGGCCTTGGCCTTGTTTGGGGCACAAAAAGAGTAGGGGATTCTTCCAATGTTAAACCAGGAACATCAGTCCCTACAGTCCAGTTTCCTGGATGCAGCAGCCTCCTGGATTTGCTCCCACAGGCAGACGAGGGCATCTCAGGGCGTTTCCCCTCTTCTTATGTGGTTCTCGGATCTTGAGAACCGAGCCTTTTTATCCAGTTCCTTTTTATCCAGTTCCTTTCGATGCACTTAAATGGGCAGAGTTGGACATTTCTGGAGCGCCGTGTACATGCAGTGGGCCATGCCACGCTGTCGGACTTCTCTGCCCTTACACCTTGTCTGCTGGTGGTCTCACCACCGTCATTGTGCTGATGAAGAGAACAACGCTAGGGCCTTATATTCCAGTAGTTTCAGGGCTTACCAAGCGCGCTCCTGACTGCTCTCTTAGACAGAAATCTCTTCCTTAGAGTCTGATCCAGAATCATCCTTCATGATGATTGGCAATTTGGGTCTAAAAATAAGTGAGCTATAAGTAAAAACTACACAGTTTCAGTGTTGGGAGCAGAACTCTTTGAAAACATGCACGTTTTTTGATTATCTGTGATTGATAAATGGGATTTATAGTGCTGAGTTTTAGAAAATGATATTTACCAAATTATCTATCGTCTTTGCCCCAGAAAATTTCTCTTTCTTCCACACAAAAATGCACAGAAAGAACAGACCGTGAGAGGAGGATGAATCAGCAGATGAGGCGCATGAGGCAGCGAGAAGCTCCACAGCGAAGGCTATTTTGGGAATTCAGTTGGTTTCCTTTGCGAGGATAACTCATCAATTTTTCTTCCATTTTTTAAATGCTCACAGCATTTTGTTAAATGGCATTTTCGGTAAATTGCTGGCTTCAAATGTGATTAGAAGACGATTGTTCTGAATTATAAGCAGCCGAGCACCTTTACTGAGCAAGAGGCAGGTGCGTGATGCAGAACCACTGCTGACCTGAGGACCGTTGCTAAGGCAAAGTGGTAGTCTCACCTTGCTCTGCACTAATGTCCCCCAGGAGGTGCACGTCTTGCACACCTGCCTGGGCCCCCACCTTTATCTCCCCTCCCATATCTGTAAAGACTCCAGAGCCGAGGAAGGCAGGGCTCATAGGAACACACACAGGCTAAAGACTTTCCCGTCTCCCTGGGATGTGCCAGATTCATGACATTGCTTCCTGCTGTTTGTATTAGCCCGGCAGGACCCATGAGAGCCCTAGGTGCTGTTGGTCCTAGGAGTTCCCTTCTGGGTGCCCTCCCAGGTCAACATGCCAGGAAGTATGACTACACCCACACCCGCGAGAACCATGCGGGCAGCTGCTTCTGTTACCTTCTCCTTAAATGTGAATAGGGCTGTACTAGGTGCTGATGCCTTCGCAAAAATTGAGAAACAAAACTTCACACTTATATTCTGAGCACCATATAAGCTTTCATCCTTTAATTGGTTTAGTTGCTTAATTTCTCTTTAAAGCTAAATTTCATTGTCTTTCTATTAGTTGACTTTGTTTTAGATAATTGTAATTTTCTGAAAGCTTCAAAAGCTGAGGTTTTCTTGTCCTGCCTTCCTAAATACTTGGATTTAGAGTTTCCCAATGTTGTTCAGAGGACTTTAAAACAGTCAGTCTTTTTTTCAGGATACTCAGTGATTTATAAACATGGTGAATACAGGCATAAACCTCTTTTTGGAAAAATTTTTATTGACTTGTATTTAAAGTGCATAAATTTTATATGTACAGCTTGATTTTGATGAATTTTTTTTAAAAAAATAACATACCTGTATAACTACAACTTTGATAAAGATTCAGAGTATTTTCTCTTCTCTTACCTACCCAGGTCCCTCCCCAGTCAAAACTCCCACAATGGTTTCCCTGTTTGACTTCTATCCCTACATGGGGGGGCAGGATAGTGGCCCCCAAAGATGTCCAGGTCCTATTCAGGAACCTGTGAATATGTTATGTTACATGAAGAGGGGAGTGAAGATAGCAGATGAAATCAACATGGCTTGTCAGCTGACTTTAAAATGGGGAGATTTCCCTGGATTATATGAGGGGCCCTGTTGGAAGATAAAGACATAAAAGGTTTCAGGAGTTTTGCAGGGATTTGCCTTGAAGGAATCTGTGAGTGTGTTAGTTCACAGATCAAAAGCTGCCTCACCACAGGAGGGCATCTCACCGAGATCAGGAGCATTTGCAAGGCAAAGCCCATCTCTCGACCTGGAGGCCTGCCTGAGGCTTGTTTAAGACAGGGCTTGGCATGAGGTCGCAGGGTGAGAACTGACCAAAGAAAGCCTGCCCACAGTCACCTGCTGCTAAAAGATGACTGGCCTCAGGGAGAGTTCCTGCTTCACTCCTGACCACTTGTCTCAATCAAGAAGAAACTAGATAAAAAGATATATAGCCTCTATATTTCTGTTCAGCCCTTCTGCTGATTGATAATTTTATCTTAGGACTCAGAAGTTTATCTTAGAAAAATTTTGTAACCGTTTGTTTGCTCATGTAGATAGAGTTAATTAAGGGAACTCTAGAAAATTTGGGGAGACTTAAAACCTAAGCGAATTATCTGTTATTATGTAAATCTGTAACCACTGGCAACTGATCACTGCACTAATAAATACTGATGCGGGACTTCACTCAGAGCCTCTCAGCTCACGGGAATGCTGGAGGACCCCTGACTCCCCCATCACTTTAAACTCTCTGTTCTCGGTTATTTCTCTATCTCTATTGTTTCTCTGTTTCTATTATTTCCAAATCTCATGTGATGATCCTGCCAGGGACCTGTTTTGCTGGGAGTGTAGCTAACTCCCGGCAGGGCCCCAGTATAATCACAGATGTCTTCAACTGCAGAAGACTGAGGGAGAGTTGGGGAGAGCAATGCCATTCAAGGAAGACTCAACCCATGATGGGCTCTGAAGGTGTGAGAAGGGTGCCATGAGCTAAGACATCCAGGCAGCTTCTAAAAGCTACAAAAAGTAAGAAAATGCATTCTCCCCCTAGTCTCCAGAAAGGAATGCCACCCTGAGGTCACCTCGGTTTTTAGGAGGGGGACCTGTTGTGCACTTTTGACCTCTGGAACTGTAAGAGAATAAATTTGTGTTATTTTAAACCACTAAATTTGTGATAATTTGTTATAGCAACAATAGAAAACTAGTATACTTCATCCACTAAATTGACCTATTTTTGCTTTTTTGTTACAATATGACTTAAGGCAAAGGACACACATGAAAAGCATCAGTTTTGCTGAGACATGGCCCAGGTAGAGACCCTACCTGTGTAGCCAACATCCCAATCAGTCACAGAGAGCATCCCTCACTCAGAACGTTGCCCTGAGCTTCTTTCCTCAGGGACAGCCACTGTTCCAATTTCTATCACCGTGAATTCGTCTTGCCTACTGTTGAATTTCATACAAATGGAATCATAAATCACACATATGTATTCTTTTATGTCTGGCATCTTATGCTTAACATAATGTTTAATCCAAGCTCCTGGTGGTGGACATTGGATGCTTTCCAGTTTAGGGCTATAATGAATAAAACTGCTAAGAATATTATTTTACAAGTCATTTCTGGTTGCATCATTTTATTTCTCTTAGATCGTTTTATTTCTATTAGATACGTGCCTCAGAGTGGGGTTGCTGAGTTGATGGTGAAAGTGTGCTTAACCTCTAAGAAACTGCAGGTCTGTTTTTCAAAGTGTCTACACTATTTTGCATTCCCACCAGCAAAGTATGGGAAAACCGGTTGCTCCTAATTCTTGAGGACACTTGCTATTGTGAGTCATGTTAATTACAGGCATTGTAGTCTTGTAAAGTGGTATCTAATTGTGATTCTACCACGAGTCTCCCTGAGGACTAAGGACAGAGTTTCCTTTCCATAGTGTTTTGCCTGCATATATTTTCTTTTGTGAATTGTCCTCCAAATCTTTTAAGATTAGATTGCTTGTTTTTATTATTGATTTGTTGAATTTTAAAAACATATGCCCTGGATACTCGTCCTTTGTCACAGATATGTATTGTGAACATTTCCCCTACCCGAGTCTCTTGCCTTCTTGTTTTCTTAACTGTGTCTTCCAAAGAGCATGAGTTTATAGTCTTGCTAAAGTCCAATTTATCATTTTTTTCTTTTCTGGTTAGTGCTTTAGTGTTCTAAGAGTTATTATGACTATGAAAGCTTAGATTTTGTTCTAGAATCTTGAATGGTTTCATCTTTCCATTTGGGTCTATGAGCCATCTTGAATTAACTTCTTTATATAGTATAATGTAGAGGTCAAGGTTTATTTTTATTTCCGAGAATATCTAATTAATCCAGCACCATTTGTTGCATCCAACACCTTTTTGCATTTAGCATCATTTTTAACCAAAAAGGTGGTTTAGTTATTCTTTGCCTGTGCATATGTTAAAAATTTGTACATATAATAATAAAGTTTCTATTTTGGCTAATAGAATATTTCAGTTGGCTTAAATGCAGTTAAGGATTGTGGGTGCATCACAATTAATTCCAAATACAATTCTTGATTCATAGATTTTTAATTAACTAAGATAATTAATTAACTAAGAACATTGCTTTTACCATGATACTTGTGCCACTAAAATTTGTGTTCATATCATTGCATGAAACAAATTAAAAATAGTGAAAGTTAACAAAAGTGTTTCACCTTCATCAAAATAAACTTCCAAAAGCTCTTCTTTGACTTCACAAATTGCATAAAGTATCCAACCATTATCATAATTATCTGGTCTTCTATTTGAAGCATCCTGACAACATTGATCTAAAACTGCATCATTTAACTGTTTGCAAAGATTTTCTGTTATGGAGCCAATTCATTAGTAGCTATTTCTTCACATTTTGTACTTGCGCAAGAAAACTTGGATCTGAAAAGGAGCAACATTAATTTAGAAAATAGTTGTTTGATTTAAAGTCAAGCTACTCAGAATGAAAAGTAACGTCACCTTCCACAATTGTTTCTGTTATATTGTTGCCTTCGGGCATCATCCCGTTAGTAGTACCTGATATTTCCGCAGGTTTGTGTCTTTTGATTTTGACATGCTCTGTGATTTCACTGTGTTCTACATGTGCTTCATGGGTGGTAAATATTAACAGCTATCTTGTGCATGTTACCCATTTATCAGTAACGTTCTTGAAAAATAGAAGCCATTTTTCATTGAACGTGCATTTTCATTTTTACCTCATTGCTGCTGAATGTGCTTGATAAAAAACGTGAAATAAAATGAACGAAACTGTAATTCTTACAATATGGTATGTTTGGAAGCTGCAGTAGCAAGAACATTCGGATGCTCTACTCTGTTCCCTAACCTGTGACTCCCCATATTTACCACTAACCTTGCTGATGGCAGCCTGCTGATACGATGCACCTTGCAGGCATCAGCAACTATTGTGACAAAACTTGCTATTGATGCCAACGGTAGCAGATTTTTAAAATTTTCCTGTTGTGACTTGAGAGAAGGACTTAGCTCCTCCCAGCTGCTTGTGTCCAAGCGTTTTTATCAGCGTGCGCCCTGCCCTTGGAAGGAAGGTCATACAGATCTCACGTGCTGTTAGACCAGACCATGTCAGCGCTGGAACTTTGAAGAAGAGCTCTACTGGACCCATTTTACCTTATTTTGGTGTAGCTGGCAATAAACACACTGTTGAAAATAGAGAAATCTGAGACAAATACTAAATCCAACGGGAAGCCAGAACAACAGGCATAACCGGGGCCTTTCCATTCTCAC